AGCTCTATACATTTGCAAAAGTGGTTTTTTAATTGTAGGAGCTGTGGTGGCACAATGGCTCAGTGCTTGACTCGTAACCAGAAAGGGAGCAAATCCAACCCACCACCAGCTTCTTGGAAGAAAAACATGGCGGGCAGTCTTCTTTATGGAAGCATAAAGCTTACAGCGGTGGAAGCCTTAAAGGCTGGTCCTGTTTTGTCCTATGGGGTCACTATGAGTTGGAATCGACTTTACAGTAATGAATTTGACTTTCATTTGCTTCATCAAGCTGAATAGACCTACTCCTTTTTGGGCTCTTATCAATAGTCTTTGTCCCTCACCCCCGTCTTTGCATGCTGGGCTCCTAATTGCACTTATTTCCTGCCTTCCTTAACTGTTCCTGCTTCACTTGTGACTTCCTAGTCACATAACCTATGTGGCTTCCTGGTATCTCTCTACAATATCCTCTATTTTCATCAAGCTGGGAAAGGTAGGGGGATGGCAAAGGAGAGGGAGACTCTCGGTCAGGTGGATTGCTACAGTAACTGCAGCAGTGTGTCAGAAGTTGCGAGGTTGGCATAAAATAGGGCAGGGGTTAGCTCTGTCTTCATACATTGTCACGACTCAGTGGCACCTAACAACAGCAAATGCCGACTACATGTATTTTTAAATGACATTGTACTTAGTTTTCTGCTTTGCTTTTTGTTTGGTTATAAACTATCCCCCACATAACTAATCTATAAGCTTATCTACTGTCTGCATAATTATCCTCAGTTCTACAAAAGCATTTGAGGAGAAGTTTGTTGTTTTTGTTGTTGGTGGTGTCCTCCAGTCAGAGCCAACCCATAGCTGACCATCTGGTGGGTTTTCAGAGACAGTTAATCCCATGGGGAGAGATTGCCTATCTTTCTCCAATGGATCAGCGGGAGGATTCAAGTTACACACCTTTGGGTTGCCAACGCAGCTTCTTATCACTAGGCCACCAGAGCTCCTGAAAAAGAGCAGTCAGTCAATAAAATATTTTTAGAGGAAGAAAAGAGGAGAGGGAAAGCAAAGAGGCAAAGAAGGTGAGAAGAATAAGAAGGAAAGAGGGAAGAAATGAGTAAATGAATCCTTTTCCTCCTTGGAGCTTATTTTTTGCATAGAAGGATCATAGATTGTTATAAGAAGTTGTGTAAAAAGATAAAATAATCTGTGAATAATGAAATCTGAATTTTTTTTTCTCCTGAAGTTCATTACAGAGCTAACAGGTCAAAATTGTACTTTTACATCATTTCTCTGATAATTCTGTTAAGTGTAACAAAGTATTAAATGAATTGACATAAAAATGAAAATTAGACAATTGTCTTTAGAAAAATATCAGAGATAGAGATTAGAAGATAGCACAGAGGGAAGAGATTGCTGAGCGGGCCCTCTCACTAGATTGCCCGAGACAGGGTTCATCTCTGGTGTTCTGGTGCTCATTTTATAGATCTTTTATTAGACTGAAGGACCCATGTGTTACAGAGGCTAAAATATTTGGGTGCTAACTCAAAGATCTGTAGCTCAAACCCAACAGCTGCTCTGAGGGAAACAGATGTGACAGTCTGCTTCCATGAAGATTTACGGCCTGGGAAACTGCATGGGGCAGTCTTACTCCATCTGCAGGGTTTCTATGAGTTCGTCAACCCATAGCAGTAGCTGGGGTATGATACTAGACCTGTAGTCTTCAGTTTTATCTCAAGTGGTTTCTGGAGGCAATGATTTTTCAGGCAACCAAAGTTTCTAACATTAGAAACATTAGAAGTAGCTGCTAAAATGGGCTTTTATTGGAAGTTTGGGGTTACATATTTTGCTTATGCACCTTTATGTGGGAGCTCTGGTGATCTAGTGGCAAGAAGCTGAGCTGTAACCCTGAAAGCAAGTGGTTCAAATCCACCAGCTGTTCTGCAGGAGAAGGATGGCAATCTCCTCCTCCCAAGTAATTCACTGCCTCTGAAAACCCTTTGCAGTGTCAGCTATGGGTCGGTTCCAATTTGATGGTAAACAACAACAACAACAACAACATTTATCTTTAAGATATTTCTAGGACTAAAGAGCTCTGTAGCAGAAAACTGTTTATTAGTATAGCATCAATATCATTAAGCCCCATAACACTTACAGAAGTTGACGTTACAAACAGGCACGTTTGGAGTTATAAAGTGTTAGAGACAGAAAAAGAAGAAAAACTGCAGGCACCTGTTGAAGACAATGATGACAGCTGGTATCGTTTCTCCCAGGGCTCCCTCTGCAGCTGTGCTTACATTCTGCTCCCCAAGGCTAAACCAGGATCTGTTAACATCTTTTATTATACCCCGAAGAATTTTCACTCCATCCTGTTTAACGCAGTCCTCTAAAGAGAGCAGTCAAAGCTCTCTTCTGTAGAGGAGATTTTATTCATGAGAGAATGAGGAGGGGAAAAGGACTAACAATGAATGGGAACCAATTTAACATCTGTGTAATCATGTTTTTTAGCAAGAGGTCACAGCAATCTTGTAGATTATAGAAGCTCACTCTTCTGGGATGTTATTTTAGCTTGTAAGTGACAGTATTCATGCTGTTATGCTAAATGACAAATGTCAGCTTCCTGCCAACTTCTGCTGATGCTCACTTACTTGGTGGTTGCCACACAGCATTTTGAAACATCAGATAAATATTTCATTGGGGTTTTTTTTAAAGCCCAAAGTTACTTAAAATAATACTCTATGAGAAGAGTTTTCTGGAATAATATTTTTATGCCTCACCTGGATAATAGCTTTGTTACTGAACTCTTAATTATCAGGTCAGATTGTCAAGGATAACAGCTAATATCCAATAAAAGTGTAAAGTTATATATGTTCAATGTAATGATTTGCAACAAAACAAAACAAAAATACTCGACTCTGGCACCTAACAATGACAGCAAGTAAGAAAAATTGACTATATTTTTTTTTCATAAGTCTTAAACAGTAAGCTTATGGTAAAAACCTATAGGATATATTTTTGTTAAAAATCATATTGCAAACAAGGAAAAGAAATTGGTATTGAATAAGCACTAAACATGATAGGCATTTCCCTGCTTATATACTATTTCCTTGGCATACCTCATTTTACTAATGTTAAAATTAGTACAGCTAACTGGCAAACTGACTGGAAAAGATCCATATTTATTACTATGCAAAAAAAGGTGATCTGACAGAGTGTGAAAATTATCATACAATGTCCTTAATATCACATGCAAGCTATATCCTCCTGAAGATTATCCAAAAGTGACTGGAATGGCCTGAAATGCAGGCTGGGTTTATAAGAGACCACCACACTAAGAACTCTGCTAGTCACTGTTAGATGGACCTTAGCTGAAAGCAGAGAGTATCAGAAGAATGTCTGTGTTTTCAGTGATTATGCAAAGGCATTTGACTGTGTGGATCACAACAACTTGTGGCTAACCTTGAGAGAAATGGGAGTCACAGAACAGTTGATTGTGCGTATGAGAAACCTATACTTGGACCAGGAAGCAGTTGCATCAGTACAGAGCAAGGAAACACTTCATGGTTCAAAATCGGGAAACGTGTATACCAAGGATGCATCCCATCTCATATCTTTTCAACCTATATGCTGAACAGATCAGCCAGGAGGCTGGGCTTTATGAGGAGGAATGTGGCTTCAGGATTGGAGGAAAACTCATCAACAACCTGTATTATGCAGATGACAAAACCTTGCTTTGCTGAAACTGGAGAGGACCAGAGGCATTTGCTTCGGACAAAGACTGCAGTCTTCAACATACGTTGAAGTCAACATCAAGAAAACAAGATTCTCACCACTGAGCCAACTAACAACATCATGATAGATATTGAAGAGATTGAAATTGTTAACATTGTTTCTATAATCAATATTCTTGGTACCAGCATCCAGGAAATAAAAAATAAAGTGAAGAGAAAATAAAAACAAAAACTAAGTCTCAGAATTTGACTTCAACAGTCTTTAAGGTTACCTAAGGATAAAGTTAGGAGTCAAAGCACATCCTTTCCCATTGTCCACCTTGACCTCTTTCTTGAAGCATTGCACATACCACTGAATCAGTTTGGCACAGAAACCATGGATTACCCTGTTTTTTTAACATCTTGTAATTCAACTAAGTTTTATTTTCATATTTTTTCTGCTAGATTTCATTTTAATACACGTGTGCTGAGGCATAATAAAATAGTTTATTATGTATCTTCTTGCTTTCTGAGTGGTAAAAAGAACAACACTGGAATGATGGCTGGCTTGGTGGCTGGTATGGCTGTTCCACTTGGCTCAAGGCATTTTGTCATGCTAATGTTTTTCCATTTTTATTGTCATTGAAGGAACAAGACATGAAAGTTTATTCATTCCATTGTTAATAGTCTCAGATTATGAACTTAGACATCCTTTTCCTAAAGAGCTCTAAGTCCAGAGATGGACAAATGTTCTTTAAAACCAATTATTTACTAAAGATACTCTTTTGTTGTTGTTTACTATCATATCAGAGCCAAGCCATGACTGACCCTCCAGTGGGTTTCCAGAGGCAATGAACGTTGAGGGAGGAAACTGTATATCTTTCTCCTGCACAGTAGCTGGTGGATTCAAAGCACATACCTTTGAATTGGCAATGCATTTCCTTACCTCCAGTGCTCCCTCTAGTTCTTTAAAAATTCCCTGGTCTTAAAGCATAATTATTATCCAGAATGATATAATAGGGACACCTAGAAAAGATTTATTTTGATCCTGTAAGTATTCTTAATCTAAGTTGTGTTTTGGGAGCTCTGGTGACCTAGTGGTAAGAAACTGTGCTGCAATCCCAAAGGCAAGTGGTTCGAATCCACCACCTGCTCTACGGGAGAAAGGTGATCAGTTAATCTCCTGCCATCCAGTTAACTGCCTCTGAAAACCTATGGGTCCATTCTGGCTCAATGGTATACAACAACAACAACAACAACAACAACAACAAATGTGCTTAGTCTAATTTAGAAGATTCTAGTTTTCCTTTCCCTTGTTTTCCACAGGATTATTTTACAGATGCAAATAGAGAGTTGAAAAAAGATGCACAGCAAGATTACCACCTAGACTATGCCATGGAGAATAGTACACACACCGTCATTGAGTTTACCAGAGAGCTGCACACATGTGATGTAAACGACAAGAGCATAACGGTAAGGAGTCTGGGAGTGGATATAGGAATGAATCAATCATACATTCACATTTATGGTTCATGTTGTAGGATGAAAGGAGCAAATAGTTAATAATAACCTTTGACAAATATAGTCACATAAAGTCTTTTGGGGACTGTTTTTCAAATCTCTTTAAAGCCACAAAAAATTGACAAAAATGTCAAGAAAGTTAATTATTATGTGAATCTAAAATTTTTGAAGAATTCTTTAAAGTGTATATGCTTTCTTCCTAGGAAAGATTTTTAGCTTATTTTTTATGAAGTATGAAAATAGTAATATTTAGAGGGAAATATTACAAGAAGGAGAATTATGGCATACAAACAGAAGAGCATAGTCTATCTGATTTATATCTGAGTAATTTTTATAAATTTTTGAAATCATGATGAATAGTACACTGATTAAAGTTGCCTGTTAACGTGTTTTACAAGATTTCTTATTTCGACTTCTTGAAAAAAATTTAATATCTTTATGTAAATGCAAATTAAATATTTAGTCTTTATGACTCATGCAGTACTTGAGAATTTTCCACAAATTGCCTGAATCAGTTTCATTTTTGAATGGACCAATAATTTTTTTTTTTATTTTAAAACTTCAAGTCATAAAAGTAAGAATATAATGCTGAAGCTGTTGTCATTAACATTCATTGTAAAGAATGAAAGAAGGCAAAATAAATGCAACAATGTAGACCATTTTGATGTGTATAAAGGGCAATTATATTTTTATTGGAATAGTAATTTTAGTCACTTGATTTATATAGCAAAGAGAAGATTTAAAAGAAATAGCTTTAGCTTCCTGCCACCCCCCATTCAAAGTTTTTATTACAATGATCTGGCAAAAACATCTTTTTCTGTGGGAGGACTGAGCCGTTCCTGTGCACCTCAACTATCCTTTCCCAAGACTTTGGACAAACTCTATTCAAAGGAAACCAGTTTTTTCTGACAGTATTTTCCTTAGCTGGAGGAACTTAGCCCCATGGAAATTCCCAGGAATTATAAAAGGATTATAGGTGCAATCAGAAAGTCCTCTATGTTTCTCTTTCTACGGATTTGTAGATATTACTGGTTTAATGTATCAGAAAACTTGTGTCCTGATCTGGAAAGTAATCTTAGTTTGAATCTATTTTATCTAGAATTTTCCATGGCATTAAAACATGATTGAGTTTTTCCAAATCTCTGTGCCTTAATAAGAAATTTGTTTGCCAAATACTAGTTGCTAATTTGGAGTTTTAGCATTATGTGAATTGACTTTTGTATTCATTAAAACATATTACCAAATCAGTTGTATTAAAGTACAGCAAATCTGTTTTGGAATTTATAATCCTGTGGGATTAGACAGACTCTCTAAAAAACTATTAAATAGTCAGTGATTTAATTGAATTTTCTCAATTAGAAACCACATTGAGAACTTCAAATTTTCTTTTTTCCAATTCTATTTTCTACTTTAAATACCTTCCTCATTGGTATTAAGTCACAACCAACTCATATCTGAGCGTACTAAGAGTAGAAACTGCATGGGGGGAGCTTGTGCATCCTTTCTCAGATGAGGGTGGGTTTGAGAGGCATGATCTTTGGGTGAGAAGTCTGCCTCCCTAAGGGCTGTGTCATCAAATTCCTTTCTGCTGCAAATAGGGTGGTTTAAATGGAACAAAATGATAAGAGAAGTGTTCTCAGGAGACATAATGGTGTACGTATCTGACCTGTAGGACAGCACTGTGAGGGTGATCTGGGCTTATCATCATGAAGATGCAGGAGAAGCTGGTCCCAAGTACCACGACTCCAATCGAGGCACCAAGAGCCTGCGGTTACTTAGTCCTGAGAAAACCAGTGTGTTGTCTGCAGCCTTGCCATATTTTGACCTGGTAAATCAAGACGTAAGTCTTTTGTTTTTAACTTGTTGATAGTTGCTGTTGAGTTAATTTTTTAGGATTATAATGATGAGATTTTTGAACTTGTGCAGGAAAGTCTATGCTTTAAATAATGCATTGATTCAAACAGAGACTTGTACATCAATGATCATAGCAGCATTATTCACCATCGTAAGAACATGGAAACAGCCCAATTGTCCAACCACAAATGAATGGATTGAGAAGTTGTGGTATATTCATACAATGAAATATTATACAGCACACAGGAGCAATGATTTTGTAAATTACTACCTAACTTGGGAGGGACTGGAGAGCATTATGCTGAATGAACTAACTCAGTCCCACAAGGACAAATACTGTATAAAACCATTATTATAGAATGAGTATGAGGAACCAAAG